AGCATAGCTTGCAGACCTGGTGAGAGTAGGCTGTTGGAGTGGATGACATGCCTTCTACAGCCCTAAAGCAGCCCATGAGTTTTGGATGGCTTGTCAAACACACCAGCAACCCATCCCCAGAGCATTGGCAATAAATGGAAAGTTGCTAAGAGTTCGGATTGATAACTTGGTGCCTCTGAGCGCTGCATCACACCATAGCTAATATGCCATGGTGCAGTGGAGTGATCATGCAAACCAAGTCAGTGTCCCTTTTCAACTTGACAATGCCATGCATTTATAGATTCATTTGTTGTTGGATTATAGTTGCATGGAGGTAGTTTTGTCCTGGTTTATACTGCTTAAGTATTCTGCATTCTAGGCGCTGTTTTTTTAAAGTTCTGCTGAAAAGAGTGAAAGTCACTCCAAAGAAAAGTAGACTTAAGATCAGGATGTGAGTTGTGAAATGGCACTAATAACAAATGTATTCGTATAATTTTTTCTAAGGATGTTCAATGAGTGTGGATGGTCATGCCAAGTACAGCACTAAGGCTAGTCTTTTGAAGCATAATAGAGCTGGTGTATACCTGTACAAAACTGGCATGCATGTAGCTAAATTGGAAGCTGATTTTGCATCAGTCTTTCCAGCATTAGTTAGTTACCTCTCCTCCATTATATAAAATGGAAGGTGTTGTATGAGGTGAGGTAAAATGTTCTAATCTGTCTCTGTTTGGCACATGAATTGCTTTTTCTGCCTGGGGGAGAAACATAAGCTTCTTATGTCATATTTGTTTATGCATAAATAGCTGGGTACTCTTTACGTCTCGGATTGCTGCGAGTGAATTTAAAAATCAGTGCACATAAATCAAGCAACAGGTCTTTTTAAAAACTATGGTAAGCCGAAAAACAACAAATCAAATATCCTATTTCAAATCATTCTGGAAGGAAAAACAAAATGGCTTAATTCCTTAAAATAAAACATACAAGAGAAAAACCATAAGCTGTATACAGATTATTTATATGAAGCAGTAAGATCAGTTTCTCTTTTATAGCTTTATTCTTGTCAGCAAATATTTTTACTTTCATTAGCATTTTTATTTAATTTTCAAAGTTCCATAGTAGTGGGCAGATACTTTCTTTAAAAGAAACACTATAGAACTAAACTGCTTATACATATAATGCTTTACATATAACTAGTAGCTTTTATTTCTCCATTTATTCATTTCACTTCTATGCTGCGCACAGCTGAAGCTGGGTAGTTTATAACAATCCATAAAAACATTTGCTGAAAACACAATACAAAATCAGAAACTCAGAAAAAATTAAAAGTTTAAAATGGCTAAAAACAGAGGATAAAAACGAACAATGGTTAAGAATTGCAAAGGAACAGCTCTGCAAAACACCTGGTGATCCCTATCAAGCCTCTGGCTGCCCAAGTAAGACTTTAAAGGCCGCAGAGAAGAGGGCTGTCTTAACCTGGTGCCAGAAAAGATGACAGATTCACTGCCAGCCAGGCCGCAATAGGGGGGTTGTTTTACAGATGGGGAACTGCTAGCAAGAAAGCTCTCCCCCTTGTTGCCGCCCTTCCTTTTTCCCTTAGAGTTGACATTCAGAGACAGGCCCCAGTGGCTGAGTATAGTGTCCACATAGATCGCAGTTGGGAGAGGTGCTCCAGCAGTTATTGTGTTCCTAAGCCATTAATAGGTTTTATAGGTTATAAGGCTTTATAGGTTAAAATCAGCATCTTGAATTGGGACTGGTCTTATATGGATCCACAGGTCCCAGTTATTAATGTGCTTGCCACATTCTGCACCAGCTGCAGCTTCTGACCAGTCTTCAGGGGCAGCTCCATGTAGAATGTTCTGCAGTAAACTAATTTAGAGTTCACCAGATCACTGAAGCCAGGCTATCTCTGCCCAAATATAGGTGCATTCCTATACCTAGACATATTTAATTGACAGCATTCCTAGACATATTCAATTGACAGATCTTCGCATGGCTGGTGTAGATAGCGTTTTAGCAGACACATCAAGCCATTCCTTTTGAAGAGTCAGTGAATGGCAATTGCATTGGAAGGTCCTTCACCTACTTTTTAACAAATGGAAAATGCCACATATTGATGTATTTGCCAGGTGGAAAACAAGAGATGCAGAGATGTTGTACCAGAGCTTGGATAGGTCTATACCTTCTTAGAGATACTTCTTGGAAAGGGAAGCTCTGTTATCTATTCTTTCTATTTCTTCTCCTGACAAGGATTGAATCTGCAGATCAACAACACCACCTGTAATACTAATAATTGATTGGTGACCCAGGCAGCTATGGTTTCCTGACCTGTTTCAGCTGACACATAAGACTTCCCCCCAGGCTGTATCTTCTCTCTCAAAACAGGGGTTCAGTCTGCCACCCAGATATAGTTACTTTCAAATTAATAACATGGAGAATCTGACCAAGCTCCACCAGCCGAATTTACTCCACACTTTAGACTCTTGCCACTGCTAAGAAACCAGTGGTAAGGAATCATACAGTGTTAAATAGGTATGTTTTAAGGCATTCTTTAATACTGACATTGATCTGGCTACATGCCCACTCCTGTTTCTATGTTTCCATTTTGCCTCGTTCCAGAAGAGGTTGACACTATCATGGTTTGGTAGCAATTTGTGCCTTTTGCTGTCCTGTTGATGCTTGTTACTGACCCTCTCCTTCACTATTTCCTTAAGGGCATTAAGAATGTGACCCCACTAGTCAGGACTCCAATTCCACAGTGGAGCTTGCCTATTGTATTTAAAGACTGGTTGACCAAACCAGTGGCTAAATCTGATGCCCATCTTCTAATATGGAAAGTTGCATTTTAGTGGCAGTTACATCAGTTCTTTGACTTGACCGCCCTTCTATCACTTTTCACAAAGACAAGGTCATTCTTCAGCTGGACGTACCTTTTCTCCTGAAGCTTGTCATCAACTTCCTTTTGAACCAGAATATTGTGTTTTCCCATGCCAGAATCACCAGCGGAAAATGTCCTTCACATACTTGATGTTTGCAGAACCTTGACTTTCTATCAAGCTTGGATAGAGTATTTCTGCCAGAGCCCTTGCTTATTCATATGTTATGGGGAAAACTAAAAGGCCATTCAGTATCTTCTCAAAGACTGGCATTGTGGGTTGTTCAGACTGTAAAACTGGTACACGAACTAGTGGGATTGCAATCCCCCCACCCTCTTAGATTGACAACACATTCCACTTGGGGAATAGCTAATTTGACAGTGTTCAGCAGAGGGATTTCATTGGTAGTATTTGCTGTGCAACACATTGGTTGAAACTGACAGCTTTTATTTGGCATTATCACCTTGACATTTGGGCTCTGTACCTGTAACTAGTTCTTCTAGTGGTTATCTGTGCATTCACACAACCCATCCTCCATCCCACTTTAGTGCCAATGGTTCTGCCTCTGCATCAGCATTAATACTTTATATAATATTATCACCCCTTGATTCTGAGGTCACAGTTTGGGCAGTTTCCATAAAGCTGAGGGAACAGGCAGGAACGTGCTGGATCATGCAATGATTCAAGGAGGAGGGTTCTTAACGAAATAGAAGCTTCCTGATTAAGCTTTCATGGAGATGCAGAACCCATATAGATGAATGCACAGATGACCGGTTGGAGACCTACAGTTACAGGAAAACATGTACAGTTACATGTCTTTTTCTATCTGAAGAATTTATCCAAAAACATTGACAAGAGTATTAACTTCAGTAGAATCAGAGATTAAACATTTGTAATGGGGTTATAAGCTTTAACTATGTTTTATAAATTATTTTAATGATATAGTGATCTCCTATGTAAAATGTGGAGTTCTTTCCTGATTTCTTATTTTTCTTTGGTTACAGTTGGTCAGGAAAACTAGCTCTGGTGCTTGACCTCACTTATAGAACTATGCATTATGAAATGAAGATTGAGCAATGCTTTAATCTGAAAAATATTGTACTACAATGAGAAATGGCAAATTATTTCTTAGTATTCATTTCCAGCAATACCATGTCTAAGAATGTAGTTGAATGTCAATATTTATATTTAGGCTGTATAGGAATTTGAATCATACCTTCCTTATAGTTTGAAGCAATATGAAACATGTTTACATAAATGTATCATAGCTAAACAAAATAACCTTTCTAAAATTCCCTATGTGAATGTGGTCTTACTTGGATGTTGTATGTGGAAATGTAGAAAACCTTCCAGAAGCATGCTGTGCTATTAAAGGCAGGATGATCATTAGGACCAGTTTGTCATGATAAGAAATCAGGGATTATCATCTATATGTCAATGAGAAATTTGCCAGCTGCTGTTTTGATCATGCAAGCCACATTAGGGGTGGTTCCCACAGTTGCTTGAGTCATGGGTTATTTGGGAGATAATTGCTTAACCCACAAATAACCCACAAACCCTGTCTTTTGTATGACACGATAAGCTGTAGCATGCCTTTGCTGCTTCTTGTATATTTAAGGTATTCAAAATTTTGGCCACAGTGGCTTATCATGAGGTGCAAACTGGGTCATAATATTTAATCTTTTCAGTTTTCCTTTGATGAACCAGTATATTTCAGCTTTTGTCTTGCGTGAAATTTCATTGTAGTTTTTTCTTTATTGATGTCTAAGAAATTTGCACTTAAATTACAGTTTTGCATACTAACAAAAGATGTCCTTCAAACTATATGGAAATAATCTTATTGCGTTATCTTGAAATGAGAGTACAATTTCAAGGTATCTTGCACCATCTTTTGGGGGCAGTATTCTCTAGCAATAACTTAAGCTGTAAATTACTTCACTATTGTACTGTCCATCGTGCCATGTAAGAAGTAAAGTGCTGTCCATAGGCTTAGAAGAATATTTAACACAAAACCACTGCTGGTCACGTGCAAACCCTACAGCAATAAAAGAAAATGAACACTCATGTGGGTAGTAAACTGCCTGTGCAAATCCCATTTTATGCTTTACAGTTGATGATTGCTTTGTGTTAATCTGTATTTTACAGGCATTGCTTTCTGTACATGATACTGTTGCTCAAAAAAATTATGATCCAGTATTGCCTCCCATGCCTGATGATATTGATGATGAAGAAGACTCCGTGAAAATAATCAGACTTGTGAAAAATAGAGAACCACTGGTATGTTTTGAGTTGTTCTTTAATAATAGAGTTATATTTGAATGATACTAAACATGAACCAGTGGCGTGAGTTTTGTATGGACCAAATAATGTGTTGAATCCAGAGCTGATTTATTTTCCACTTGGTCCAACCGCCATTTTCTGTAACAGTCCTTTATATCTAATGATGAATATTGCAATTTATGATGACTTTTGTAAAGTTATCAGTGGTAAATCTATTGGCTAAGAGACATTTAATGCTGAGCGTTATGGAGGAAAGCATAGTCACTGTCAGCACTGCTGAAAAGCCAGCTTCATTGGCTTTGCATCTTCCGCAGCTGACACTGAGGTATCATTCTATCAGGCTGTAACAGCTGGAGAGACAGAAAGCCTGACAGATCCAATCCCATTTTCTCAGATAAGAAGGGCCACGTGAATAGGTTGAAGGAGAGGCCCTTGACAGATTCCTCCTGTAGCTAGGGGAGCCTTGTTCAATCTGTCTCCAGACAAAAAAGTAAAATTCATAGGTGATAACAGAGGTGATGCCTGTTCTAGAAGTCCATCAGCTCAACTATTCTCCCTTTATACCTGTATAATTTTAAAAGTGTGCACACATAAGAGTTTACATGAAAAGTTATGTCAGCATGTTCAGGGAGAGGCTGTTGGGAGTCCTTTCAGTAAGAAATGTAGAAGAATGATGAATGGCTGAAGAAAGACGGGTAAATAGTAATTTACAAAAGATAGTTTGTGTTTGTGGAAGGTATGTGGCTAAGGGAAATAAACTGATGGGGAGAAGTTTGGCTGGGGATGGGGCATAGTTGATAATGAAGTGTTACCCCTTGACCTCACTCTCATATCCATGTGAAATTACATGTGTATGCATGTCACAAATAGATCTTTTCCAGAGGGGTGGCATACATGCCACAGAAAATGCACTGCACTTCAACATGTGGAAAAATAGCCACTTTAAAGTGCAGGAAAATAGTTTGAGAAAAATATTAAGATAAGATGAATATAGTGAGTTTTTTTAAAGTGAAGAATGCTTAATTCTGCATGTACCAGTATTAGAACATTGTAGTTCTAATACTGCAAACAAAGACAGAGAAAGATCCCAGGCAACCTCAGCACAATGCTCATAATTCCCTGCTTGTCTACCCCATGGAAATAGTTAATGGGGAAAGAACTGTTAAAAGGGGACAACATGGAAATGTAGGGGACAAGGTTAAGTGGCATACAAAGAATAAAGGTTAAAGGGAGAAGTACAAGTTATTTGTTCTTTTAAAAGGACCAGTGTGAACTGGACTATGTAGTTCATTTTCGTGGTTTCTGTGCATCACACATGTGGGCTCTTCGCTCATATGTGGAGCTATTTTCGGGAAGATTCCAAAGCTGATCAGTTAGTCTTCAGCAGGAGCTCAGCCCCCAGTATGACGAGCATGAGGGCAGGGCTTCCATCGAGACCTCAGTTCTTCTTTGACCACCATCGTGAACACTTTGAGAAGTTCCTTTTCCTACTTACCTTGCAAACTTTTATGTCTGCAATGACTCTCATCCTCTTCTTCTACCAGGTTTTTTTTTCCTGTAAATCTTCTCACTAGAAACAATTTAAGTTTAAAATGTTGCCACGACTTTCTGCAGAGTAGACTCAGTCATTTCTGGTGTGAACTAAAGCTGTAATTCATTTTTGTAAGCATTCATACCCACCCTCTCCTCTGTATGTCTTCATTCAAGTTGCAGTTGTCTGGAAGTACCTGCTGTATAGTTGGGAAAACAGTAATGTAACAGTAAGGTACAATACAGCATGCTTTTTTATACATTGAATTTCCCCCCATGTGTTTTCCAGAGTGGTACAGCAGTGTCAAATCATTTTCTGGGTCACTTACTGTTGTTTGAGGAACTTCCCCCGATATTTGCTATGACTGCTTCTTCCAAACAGCAGTTACCCTGTTCTTAAGTGCGACATTTTCTTAAGATTTAGATAACTTGGTTTGTATATTAAAAATAAGGGGTGTGAGCTCTTTTGCTCCTTTATATGCGGCATTCAGAATTTTCACTGATGCAGTAGTTGTGGACCTCACAAATTATTTAATAGCCAAGAATAGCCTGACACCTTAATATAAGAAAGGTAAGGGTTTGGGTTAACAACTTTTTCAAGTCACTAAAGACTGCTTGTGGAGAATTATTCTGTGCTGTCCAGCACTACTTTTATAGAAATGTTTTCATTTATTTTTAAAGGGAGCTACTATTAAAAGGGATGAATCTACTGGAGCTGTTGTTGTGGCTCGGATAATGCGTGGAGGAGCTGCAGATAGAAGTGGTAAGAACGTCTTAATTGTGAGGTCACTGATATTGCTGGCAAAATGGACTTTTCATTGCTTGACTTCAAACAAGTAATTACATCCTGCTTTGCAAGTTTTCATTTAGACTGTAAAATTACACCATTAAAACCATTATGTTTATCGGGTTTCAAATAATGACATTACAACTTGAAAATTCTCACATTACTAAAATGTTAGTGAAATGTTTTCAGAATCTAAACTAGGAGAAAAGAGGAAGTCATATTTTTAGTGTGGCAGTATCTCAGCTAGGCACTCTTGTACTTTAGGTTCTAGCTCTAAGCATCCTTTGAAAAAACTAAGTGATCTTCCCCTTTCCTCTTGAAATTGTTTTATCAACAGCTCAAATTATATTTTAAGATAGTGCTACCATAGTGGTTATTTAGTAAGAAAACAGCAAGAAAAAACCCCAGTAGCTTAGATAGCTAAGAGAGAAATCATGTGGTCCTTTGACAGTGTCCCAGAGATCATAGGATTTTTCAGAATACTGCAGATTCCTGATTCCAAAGCTGAGATGCTGCTATGACTTTTGGAAGGGACTTAAAATCCATTCCCTCTCCTGCCACCTCAATGCCACCATGGAAAGAACTGTTCTTCGTCGTGGCCTCTGTGCATCACACATATGGGTTGCTGCCCCTGCACAGTGCCTAGGCCGGAAGATTAGAAAGCTAACGGTTTTTGGCGGGAAAACTCAGAGCACTGAATACTCAAAAGCCTCCAAGACTGGAGGCTCTCTTCTGACGGACTGCAATCTGAAAGATCTGAGGTCTGTTTTTTTTTAATTTATGGAAGAATGGATAAATTGGAAAATGTTTACTGGAGAGGTAAAGTCAGCTACCTTACATTGAATCCAGTGGTGCCATTTTGTTCCTGTTCACAGGTGGTGTGTCTGCCTGATTTTGGGTACATTTCCCTTACCCCTCAGCTGTTGTACTAAAGTCCACCCCATTCAGAAGCACACTCTCTCTTCAGGAGAGACTTTTCAGGGGACCATGGAAGATGCTAGGGCTACAAACAGAAAGAAGAAAAGTTTACCTGTCAGCAGAACATCAGCTATACCCATGCATGTATATGCATAGACATGTGCAGTAGCCTTTGCTATATAGCTTGAATTGTGGAGAAGAAAAAGCAGAGCTCTTTGACTTTTTCTAATACTAAGTAGAATAGAGGACAATTTGAAAAAACGTTGATATACACAACTTGGTTAATGGTTTGACTTATTAAATAATTATGTTCTGTAGGTCTCATTCATGTTGGTGACGAACTTAAGGAAGTCAATGGAATTCCTGTGTATGATAAAAAACCAGAAGAAATTATACAAATTCTGGTAGGTTATAAATGTTATATTTAAAGAAAATATGGAACAGAAAACACTTTTCTTGATTTTAATGGTTTATTTTTACTGTTTTCATCAGTTTATAGTACTTTTTTTTATAATTCCACACACACACACACACACACACACACACACTACAGACATTTCAGAGTTTCAAGACATCGTTCCACCTTTTTTGTGGCAATGTTTCCTGAAAAGAACAAGTGGCTAATAGCATTTGTAAACATGTTAGGATAATTAGTATATGTGTTTAAGGAGACTTTCCAGGTTTGCTCCATCAAAATTCTGCACATTTCAAAAGGAAAACAAAACACACTGTGCTGGACCAAACTCCAAACATTGGGTGAACCTGCTTGCTAGATGAATATATTATTATTGGAGAATTCACACTTCAAGGAGGCAAATGCTGGTATTGAGTTTGGTCAAGGTGTGTATCTGTGGGTGGCAACTGGTTCTACTTACTGAGGACTCAGAATTCAAGGAATTGAAAAATTAGGAGCTCTAGATGGTTTTTCCTGGAATAGCATCCTTCATGCATGCAATTTCAAAACCAGTTTGTTAGACATCTTGGAGTCAGCACTTGTAAGGGGAAAAAGCCCTTAGAAAAAGTAATCTATATATAATTGATTAAAAGTGTTTGCTGTTAAACCAGATTGTATATTTAATTAATATAATTAATATTATATATAGCCTGGCAACAACCTTATGTTGGTTTCATCAAGTTAACTTCTGACTGTATAGGTTGTGTTAGCCCTGCCTTTTCTTTGGCTTTTGTTTATATTTTATTGAATGATTTAATTATTTTTCATATATGTTTAGTCCCAGTCTCAAGGAGCCATTACATTTAAAATTATACCCAGTATCAAAGAAGAAACCCCATCTAAAGAAGGCAAGGTAAGAAGTCACTTGTTTTGAATAAAGGCCCTTCACAGGATGGCTAGCTGGAATGAATTTTGTCTCTATATGTAAATATGTCTTACAACAGTATTTTAACATATGTTGTTTATATGCCAATAAGTAATAAAAATGGAAACCAGGGGTGTTCCATTAAGACATTAATTATAAATAAAGCATTCTTTTTCCCCAGATCTTCATGAAAGCTCTGTTTGACTATGATCCCAGTGAGGATAAAGCAATTCCCTGTAAAGAAGCTGGACTTCCTTTCAAAAAAGGTGATATTCTTCAGATCATGAGCCAGGATGATGCAACCTGGTGGCAAGCCAAGCTTGAAGGGGATGCCAATCCCAGAGCAGGCTTAATTCCTTCAAAGCATTTTCAGGAAAGGTGAGCTGTTACTGAGCTGATTTTTCCCATATATTGATGACCTTTTAAAAATATATGTTCAATATAGTTGTTTTGCCTGCACATTAGGATTACAAGGTTGATAAACTTTCAAATTTTACTTTGTGGTAAAATTTCTGAACTCAGTAAGTAGAAAAGTTTTTATTTCCTTGCTTGTCTGCTTATATTAATAACAACAAAACCCAATACCGGTGATTTAGTTAGGAGGAAAATACATATGGAAAATAATACATTGGTATCTGTAATATTTGTATTTCCTAGAAATAACAGCAGTGTTTGAGGAAACTTGTTCAAAAAAGTAGACTCCAGGATTTAATTTTGAGGGCTTGAATACTGCATTGTTTAGGATGGAAAAAGACTGACATGAAGCCTGTTAATGCTAAAATAGCAATGGAAATTAAAGGTTTTGTTCCTTTTTCTCTCTCCCAAACCTCTTTACAGGAGACTTGCTTTAAGAAGATCCGATGCACAGGTTCAGCCTTTGAAAATTTCCAATAGAAAATCATGTAAGTCTCTTATAATGCATTAGAAATAACACCCCTCCTCTTATCAGGGGCTTTCATCCCCCCAATAAGATATGATCCTGATTATTGTCAAGAGACCCTAGGTTTTCAACCTATAAGACAGGTAATTTCTTTAAAGAAAAGTTTTTTTTTTCCTGCTGAAACTAGGTCTTCTATTATAGTAAAGGAAAAATACAGGGAATATATCATCTCTCTAACTAAGGCTGTTTTTAGTAGCTTGCTGGTGTTTATATTCCAAGTTAATTATTTTCATTTCAAACAATAACATCTTAACTTAATCTCTATCTAAATCGCTATTAAAGTTAGTTTTAAGTAACACTGAAATAAATGTATTATTAGAAACAAATTTTCACTATTCTTTCCCATGTGAGAGTAAGTAGACAGACACTTCCCATTTCAGATTCAAGATGAATTTCACATCGCTTGTTGAGGTGGCACTATTTGTCCCAAAATTGACTTCTGCTTATTACTTTCTCAAGTTTCTATAGTCCTTCCCATCATCATTCTTTTGAATCTATTTAAAGAATATTGTGACTGCAATGGAGATTGGTTGAGATGTAGGAAGCAGTAATACATAGCAAGGATTGGGTGCAAAATGGTCATGATTTTAATTAACTAAACTTCTGTATTTTGGCATGGAATCAAATAAGGATCCAGTCACTGGATAGCCTGACTGCCAACCATTCCACATTTTGGGGCAGAATAGAAAGTGGCAGGAGTTCTAGGGCCATAAATACTTGGACTGAGTGGCAGGCATGTAAGCCCTTCAAGCTGAGCTGGGGCCGTGTAAGTGCATTTCAACATCCCTTATGTCCCTTCCTTGCTGAGAAGTGAGGTGCCACAATCTAGCTGACCCACCAAATGGATCCTGCCACAGCAGCATATGATGAGGGTAGCAAAATGTATATAGAACAACACTCTTTTGTTGTTCTGTGTGCCTTTTGAGGCTTGCCTTCACTGGCTAAGCACCTCGGAAATAACCTGATAATAAACTGATTGGCACCAGGGGTCATTTCTGGCCTGCTGCTTGGCCTCATGAACCATAAACAGTACTGCTGGGAGGGAAGCCAGGCTGCCCCCATCCCTTGCCACCTGCATGGCAGAGCAAAGAGGATCCAAGGTGAGTAGGGAGCTAGGCATCATAGAAACATAGAAACAGCGCGAGTCAGAAGGGGCCTCCTGGGCCATCTAGTCTGACCCCTGGCTCCAGCCGGCTCCACTCACGACATGCCCACCATGTGAATGTCAAGCCTATCTTTGAACACCCTCACCAATGGGGCCTCAACGACCTCTTGTGGAAGCCCATTTCATACCCTTGGGGTCCTAACTGTCAGGAAGTGCTTCCTGGCATCTAAATGGAAGCTGGGTTCCCTGAGCTTTGCTCCATTGAAGCGCGTCCTGCCTTCCCCTGCAGGGGAGAACAGGTCTCTACCCATCTCCGTGCGACATCCCCTCACATACATGTATGTCGCCCACATATTTCAAAAGTCTATTTGAAGTTGGATGGTGTGACAGAGTCTTGGAAAACTAGAATTGAGGATAGTTTTTGAGTGGTCTGTATGAAGATTAGAAGGGTGACATGAAGAATCCAAAAATAATGTAGATGGTAGGAGAGTAAATTGAAATGATAGAATAATTATACTAACAAGGAGACTTGGTGTAGATACTGTGCTCCTAGCAAACTGTATAAGTGATTTTTTAAAAAATCACTTAGATTTTTAATCTTGCTCTTCCCAAATGCTCATGACAAAAAATAACGTAGAAAACCCTTCAGTAAAGCCATCAAAATAAAATACATTTTAAAATGCTGCTCTAATACTTGCCATTAAATTGTACTAGTACAGTGGTACCTTGGCTCATGAACACCTTGGTTCATGACCTAATCGGGTCGCAAACAAAAATTTCATGAAAACTTTGACTTGGGTTGTGAACTCCACACTGGGTGGCGACCAAGATTGCAACCATCTCCCCACCCCCCCGAGTGGGGAAATGGCCACAATTGCAGTTCGTTCGTGCAGGGAAGATGTGCGTGATCACACGCACGTTCCTGCAGGAAAGACGGGCGCAATCTCGGCCATCTCCCCCCCCCCACCAAGCAGCACAATCGTGGCCATCTCCCCAGCCCCCCAAGTGACTGTACAAAAAACTGGTGACTATAGACAGATTTTTCATCAAAATTGACCCTGCAGCTAAGAGACAAAGAAGAGAGGAAACCCCTGAAAGAGATCTCCCCAGTGTCCTTATGGAGGGGGACTCTCCCTCAAAACAATAACCTCCCCCCACACCTAGGTTAGTGTTCTCCACTGTACTGTACAGTACTTTGTTACTTTGCTGTTCTTTGTCACTTTGTTTCTGACTAAAAAGAATAGTTACAGAATGGATGAACCTTATTTACATTAAATCTTATGGGGAAATTTGACTTGGGTCACAATCAGTTTGGGTCACAACCAGAGTCGTGGAACGGATTAACTTTGTGAGCCAAGGTACCACTGTAATGCTTGTACAAAGGAAAAGCCTAGATTTAAAGGGGCAGGGAAGGTTAATTGGATAATTAGAATTAAAAGAAATGAGGCAAAGACAGAGCAACAATATTTACAATTCTTAAGGACTCACTATTATGGGTAAATTCATGTTCACATTTGGCTGTGATACCATCATGCCAAATTGTCATAACCCTCTAGCTCTGTAGCAGTACTGCTGGTGTTACATGTGGCGGCAGTTGCTCTTTTCGGAAGAGCCATTGGGGTTGTCTGACATAACAGTAGATGGAGCTGAAATCTGATGCAGAAAGAGCTGAGTCAACATTTTCAAAGTCATTTCAACCATGGAGCTTCCCATTAGATGACTAGCTCCACATGCTGTAACTATCTTCATGCATGTAATTCTGTGACATCAACTGCATGTTACCAGTTGGATATTTTCTCCCGAAAGTGCTGATGTGCTTAAAATTCTTGTAGCAATTCATTTCAGTGCTGCTTTCTTTTTATAGTGCGTCATTCTAGTTTTCATGTGCGCTCACTACAAAGAAGTAAAACATTTCATGGTTTTTAGGCCATTACCAGAATTGTGCCAATATCAGAAATACGTCCAGAATGCTCAGACTTTGCAGCCTAATGTATCAATTTGGTACATAAGACTAAAGTCCATATTAATTGCATTTGGCAAAGTATGATAGTATTAATTTCTCTTACTTGAAGAAGAAATCTGGAAGTCTAACTTTGATTGGGGAGAGGTCTGCATAGAAGAAGATCATAGATAAAGAATTTGAAATGTGGCTTCCTTGGAGAGCTTATCATTGTAGCTTCCAGGACTACTTTTGGAGATGCAGAAGTGCTATTGCAATCAGAAAATTCTGGATTCTGAAATGGTTGCATGAAGCAGGAGTGGCAGTAACCTTTGTGTATCAGCTATTTCTTTGACTTAAGTTATATCTGCATGAAATTGATAAAAATGGCTAGTCACATGGTATAATTTCTGCATGTATTCTGCTACTTAAATGGTCATACATTTGATGTCATGTACCTTCAAAAGAGAACATCAATTTTCAGTAATCAAATCAATCATATTTATTCTGCATATAGTAGCATTAGGTAAAAACAATATTCTTGCAGAACTATTTATTTTGTCATAGTAGATTTTTTATATTTAAATAATGATGCATAGTTTTCAAAAAAGATGTGATGTCTCATTCATAGGGCTTGGAAGAAATTTAATCTACAACTAGTATTGGCTCATAGATTAAATGTGAACTGGATTATATTGTATTTTAATTTTTACAACATGAGAAAGGAGGAATACTTAGACACAATCAAATACATTTATGTAGTAGTTTCATATCTTGCAATTTTTGGAATTTCCTTCATTCAGACAAGATGCAACTCATATCTCCAAATTTGGGTTTGCATTATTTTGAGTACAAATTGCACAGAATGCCAGTTTTATGTGATGGCCAAACACTGAAGTTAAGATGTGTAACAGAGTTTAATTACTGTAGTTGTAATGGGTTGGTTGCAATTTAACAAATTCTGCAAGCTCTTCACTATTCTGTGTAATAAAAGCAAGACACTCTTTATACAGGTTACCCTATTGCCACTATGTATGCTCACTGTTCACTCAAAGCAAATGTTTCCCTGGATCCTGAATATTATAGGGTCTCTCAGTAATCACTGTTCTTGGAAAGACAGTAAACCTTGACTTTGCTCTTACATTTCAACTACTTGCTTGTTTACTTTGAACTGTATGAAATCAGTGTTAGGCATTACTTGTGTTGGGGCATGGTGAACTAATCCAGACTTAAGTCTTTGTACTTTCCTTCTTCACTTGAAAGGAAAGAAGAATGCACTTACAAAATTTCATTTTTTCTAAATATTCTCAATGTATAAAAAGAAACTACATTATCGTGTTTTAGCTTTGCTATTTTCCTGCACAATTGTTTCTTTTATAGTAAAAGTTTGTTAAAATAATCAGTGTTCAGATAGCAGACAGCCACCCAGGATTCCAAACATCCATGCCCAGCTGGGCTAGAAATTCTACCCAGTAACTACCTGGTCCCAGAACTCTGGACCAGACACTGGATTCAGCACACAACAGCCCAACCATTAGGGAAAATATACATTCATTAAAAGGCTCAAAAAAGGGGTGGAAGAAACCAAAATAGCTAAAAAGTATATACCATGAATAAAAAAAGGGGGGGGGAATAGAAGGGGATGTGGGGAGCAGCAAACAATGCATGTTACAGGCAATCCAAGCCCCCAACTCCCAGGCCTTGCTGGCCTCCTAGAATGCAAAACAACAAAGCTCAGCCTAGCCTTAGCTATATATGCAAATACTATACCAGCTGTAGGCCCAGGTAGCACAGTGTTCTTTGGCAGAGTCTAGCAACAAGAGCAGAACCTCTCCTCAAAGAGGACTCCCAAGCTTCTTCAGGGCTGTAGCTTTATTCCACCCCAACCCGAATCAGGTCATCCATGGGGTGATGATCC